GATTTTCTGTCCTTTCATGTGTGTATATATATACAACGTATTTTGTATCCAACAACTAAATTTATTCAAATCAGAAATATGTCATTTATTTTAATTTCCATTTTGTAGTTTTGAACTCACCCATTACTTACCTTATTACCCCCACCCCTCTCCCAGCATGGCGTAGCCCCTTTGGTGTGGCGTTGCCGTGTGACTAACCCGTCTTTCACTCAGGTCCTGGACATCTCCCAACACTGGATTTCTCTTCCTTATTTCAGCGGGGTCTTTGCTGTTTTCCAGGATTCGCTAATCCAGTCACTGCGCAGAGAAAAGGAAAAATACCCAAGCCACTATTGGCAGGTGTGACTTCAAACACGGGGACATTGTTCGAATCGGGTACCTTTTTAATTCCTCCCTCTCGCCACGAGTCGGGGGACATGTTATTACTTGAAAAGCAGGGCCGCACATCTCAACAGCAACGGATGCAAGAAAATAACGACAACAATCATTCTCAACCTGTTTCGAGCAGTCCCGCCAACCACTGCCCCGCACCGAGCTCTCTTCCAAGGCCCCCCAGGTCTTCGATACGCTCTGGCCTGCCCAGACGCATGGGCGATTACAACCGCCTCCCCGACAACGAAAAGAAATCCGACGGGGGCGAATCGCTCAGTTCGAATTCGAGCAGCAGAAGGGCGTCTCCAGCTAGATCGCTGATCCCTCCTCCTAGAAAATTGGGTGAATACGGTAGGTTGTCAGAAAGCGGAGGCTCAAGCGCTTCGTTGCGCAAACCGTCCGCCAGAGCTAGAAGCGGTTCTGCAGGCGAGAGGGACTCCGGCTCGACTCTGAGCGACAATTCGGCCAACTCTCTACCTCCTCATTCAAAGGTTCGGTTATACGGTAGTAATTCTTTGCGAAGAGGCTCTTCCTTGGGAAGAGATAGCAAGTCCTTGAACGACTCGTCGAATAAATATAGGATACAGTTTTGACACTGGCGATGAAGAATTTCACGAATCAGAAAACGAAGAATGAAACGAATTCGGTGATTGAAGAAGGAACGGGATAACTTGATGTTTTCGCATAACTTTTAAATGAGTCTCACATTTTTTATTGAAGTAAAATATTTCGTACTGGAGCAATTTTTAACCTGAACATAAAGTTGATTGTTTCTTCTTCAGTGCATCTTAACTTATGCTCATTTTAGTCAAAATTGTTTTCTTCAATATTGAATTGTGGTGTATTACTGTACTATTATTTAATTTATTTTAAAAACTGACACGGGTTGATCAGAACTTTACAATGTTCACTCTTCAGTCGAATTTGCTTACACCCTATATTTAGTTTTCTTTTCAAAGTATTTCGTAAACTTTTGATCTTGTATTTTTCCGAATAATTTCAAAATAATGAACATGTTGCTGTGCCAAAAATGTTTCTATCAAGATATTTCTATGAATTTTTGTTGCTAAATTTCATAGAACCATGCTTCTTATTCGATACAAGAAGAAACAGCCATTTATATTGACAATTGAAGTGCCTTGTTATATCGGACCCAAGTAATTTAATTTTAGGCAATATACAATTTTTTATACAATCGAATAAAGTCTTTTAGCGTTCTCTAGTCTACACTTTGTGTTATCACTATGTACAATTTCAGACAATAAAATGTTTTTATTAAAAGTTTGTTTTAATTGTGTTTTTATTGTAGGGGACCACAGTTACTTTATTATACATCAGCTTCATTAGATTGAATCGTCTGGTTTTATACAGTGCTAGTCAAAAGTCCCCTCCCCCCCTCGTATCTTTGGAACGGGTATACTTATAATAATGAAATTTGGAGGGTGGAAATAAACGGATGTAGGCTTCTTAACTGGTCATAACANTATTAGCCAGGGGAGTAGTTGTTTTCTGATAGGTGTCAGTTCATTAACCTACAGTGTAGGTAAGTTGAGACTGGCCTGAACCAATTGTTCTTTTAAATGATTTGATTTATAGTCTTCAAGTATGCCCACTGACTATATGCGAGAATTTTTTTTATATTATAAACCCTTTTCTTGCATATCAGAGAGCCTCGCGAAATGTACCACGCCCACATTAAATTTAGGTCTTGCGCCGCCACTGTCATTGAGCTTTGGAACCAGAAAATGCGACCGGTGAGGAAGGATCCAAATAAATCTTCATTGAACCGTCATATCTCGCTTATGATAATGTGGGATCACCACCAATTAGTAATGTGAAAGAGCTAGTGAGATCTTGTTGAGCAGACACGGTGTTGAAACGGCGGGGGTAAATAAAATATTCTTAGATCCCATAATTTTTTTGCAAAACTATACAGGGTGCTTTGATAATTATTCATTTCAAATAATGGTGGACGAGCGGGTTTGATGTCGTCGAGTGAAACTACATTTTTATCAAGACTCGTTGCTCCGATCGACTTTCCATATTTAGTTTTCTTTTCAAAGTATTTCTTAAACTTTTGATCTTGTATTTTTCCGAATAATTTCAAAATAATGAACATGTTGCTGTGCCAAAAATGTTTCTATCAAGATATTTCTATGAAATTTCGTTGCTAAATTTCATAGAACCATGCTTCTCATTCGATACAAGAAGAAACAGCCATTTATATTGACAATTGAAGTGCCTTGTTATATCGGACCCAAGTAATTTAATTTTAGGCAATATACAATTTTTTATACAATCGAATAAAGTCTTTTAGCGTTCTCTAGTCTACACTTTGTGTTATCACTATGTACAATTTCAGACAATAAAATGTTTTTATTAAAAGTTTGTTTTAATTGTGTTTTTATTGTAAGGGACCACAGTTACTTTATTATACATCAGCTTCATTAGATTGAATCGTCTGGTTTTATATGAACACTTGGGTGAGTATTCAACGGTTGCAATAATTGAAAATCTATTGCAGCAGTTGTATCACCAACAGCATATGCTGAAGAATCCTGCACCGACAAAAAAATGAGGATTAACACTGTCTATGTTTTTATATAACACCTCGACACGTGTTTCGATCACCAAGTGATCATCTTCAAGAGGAATAAACTAGAAACTATCGCGAAGCTAACGCTATTTATGCTATATAGGTATACCCTACAGGTAAACCCTGCAGATGTACCACCCATACACCCTAAATTAATTTTACAATTTTGCCTTATCTATTATTTTACAATATATGTTTAAATGTTATAGCTGTATATAAAACAATTTTCAGCAATGTACACCAATATTAACGAAAAATTTGTTCGAATTTAGTGGTGATACTTTCTGAGAGTACTTTAGCTTGGTCGGATTCTGTGAAAATTAATTTACTAATTGTAATCTGTGATTATAATTATTTGGGTGTTTCGTACTTGAAAATTACCGAACTATTTCTACATCATACACCTGACTCCCGGTGATACGTCTTAACTCGAATTATTAACCTGATCACATAGCTGATGGCATTTTATTTGAAGTAATAAATCGTTTCTTTGCGCAATATGTACTTATAAAGAAACTCGCCTGTACGTGATCTGTACCATAAAGTCTATTATTATTTGAAAAATTCGACTATTCAGTTCAGTCTAGTTTCGAAACGAATCTCTACCGCTCTTTTTTTCCTTGTCAAAGTTTTCACCAATTTCATAAATTCAAAATGTTTTGTCACTGGACAACTGAAATCTTACTTTCAGTTTTTGTTTCTCTGATGATCACTTATTTTTATAAAAATCGAAAATTTTATTGGCTCTCGTGGAATCTTCCAGGACCTTTTGCTTTCCCGATTATAGGGAATGCGTTGGACTTTCTCTGTGACGATGATGGTAAGTGATTTTTTTTCATTTTAAATTATTGAATATTCCAAATAAATGCGAAATCAAATGTTCCGCCATTTTGTAGTAGGTGAAGATATTGACTTTATATTCTGGGGCTGTGAAGTATTCGTCAGGAGCTTTAAAATGGCTTTCTACAAGAAAGGCAAAAACTTTCTCAAAAATTGATCATTCCTAAAAATATAATCCTTTCAATATAAAATAATAGTTGTTTACCAAATATTTTATTTTTGGACGACGCTGATTTTTCACGGTATGCTGTTATAACCTTTCACAATGATCATTTTTGGGCTGACGAAAATTCTCACGTTATTAGAGAAAGTAATTTTCAGCAACACTTCGCTGAAAGTTTGGATAGGAATTATTTGTGACCTAACTGGCGCGGACTTTTTTCGAGATCGTTTGCCATTTTGTTATAAGAAATACCCGGCGTATTGATGAGTCAACATGTGGTTTATGCACGACGGGGCTCCAGCTAATTTTAGTGATCTTGCTCGTCAGCATTTCGATATCACCCATCCTAATCGCTAAATTGGTCGTCCAGGTCCTTAAATGTAACCAGTTCGTAGTCCTGATATGAATCCTCTAGATTTCTATTTGAGAGGTCATCTTAGGGTGCTTGGTTATAAAATTGTTGTAATAGATGTGAATACTTGAGCAATCGAATAATTGACAATTGCAATATCATAATGAATACTCCAGTTATTAAACGTGTCGACAATCAATGCAGCCGTGCATTTTATCAGAAGGTAGATATTTCGCCCATTCACTTCAAGTTGGAAATTGTCCATTTTTGGTTTTTATTTTATGTTATCCATGGACATTTTTCAAAATGAGTTGAAGGGACTTTTATTTTTTGGATTTGGAGAGAATTATTTTGAGTATTTAAACTCAATGCTTTTTCATAAATCAAAAAGTGTCCTTATACATATGTTCATTTTAGAACTTATTTTCTTAAAATGAACTCAAACATACTGCCCTTAAACATTAGTTTGTTATTAAGAAATACCTTGGTTAACTGTAGATCGAATTCAATAAAGTATATAAAGCTCATGCGTCAAATATTTTATTTTGTCCTTAAAAATACCTATCAAATCTTGAAAGTGGGATTCTAAGACAATTCCAGAATTCAAAAAATGATAAAAGCGGACAGAAAATCATAATACATGTTTATAAAAAAGCTATAAAGGCAACTAGAGAAGAAAAAGTCATTCATTGACTTTGAATCTGGGTAAATAGCGATCAACTGAAATCTTAGGTTGGGTATAAGTTCAGCCATTGAATAGTAAACGCAAGAAAAATGAGGATTAACACTGTCTATGTTTTTATAACACTTGTATTTGTAAGTAACGTTACTGCAGTTCTGTCCCACAAACACATTTTCAAACGAATACATCAAACAGTTTATTGTATTCGTTTGAAAATGTCTTAGTGGGACAGAACTGAAGTAACGTTATTTACAAATACAAGTTCAAAAATTTAGGAAGTTTTAAGAAAACCAAAAGTAAAACAAGAGTCTATTGGAATGAGCCATAAACTACAGTGGATACATCCCTATTACCTTTTGAAGATTTCAAAATAATGCAGTTCAGTAGAACAGATCGAATGATATCCAGGATCCACGAGGGTCCTTTTTTGGACTAATTCCATTTCTCACTCATGTCAATTATTTACTTTATTTGAACTTGAAAGGACATTTTTAAATGTTCTATGAATTAACAATATTTTGATGACGCAAACTATGTTCTTCACAAATAAAATCCATCAATTTTAGAGATTTCAGTTAGGTGTTTTGTGACTTTTTATGGCTGATCTACATTCCTCTAATAACCGAAGGAATACTACCTGGGCTGAAAAGTCTCGGGACTGACACATAGATGGCGCTAGCTTTATTGATTTCACCGCTTCCTCAGTTAGTACTAACCTCAGAGTAACAAAAGACAATAGAGAGGCCATTTGCATCCTTACGTTGAAGGCAGCATAACTTTATTTGTTTACGAGAAGTAAGTTGGACCATAAAACAGTGGCGGTTGGTTTAGTTAATAATCGGAGGGGTATTATATATTTATTAAAATAAATCATTTCAGGTGAAGATGTATTCTGTTCAAATAGTTCCTACAGGAAATTTGATTTACTTTCTGATTTTTATTTATGTGTAGCTATGATCATTTTTTAATCTTATTCTTATAAATAAAGTTTTTGAAACTAGTTTTATATTATATCATTATTTAACATGTACCAACCAAAAAAAGGCTAAGAAAATGACAATCGTCATTTCTTATTGAATATTGTCTGTATGCAATTCGAGATCGTGCAAAGAAAGACGTGACGTAAGTTAGTTGTTAAGTGAGCAATAACAAATTTAACACCGGTTGCACAAGAATAACTATTAAGTATACAAACTAAACATTGAGCAGAAAGCTTTTTAATTTGTTGATCACAGAATGAATATGACCTATGACACACATTGGAAAAAACATATTTTTCATTTTTGAATACAGTTTTTTTCATTTACATTCATGATTTTTCGTAATTATAGAATTCGTCAGCATAAATTATTGAAAAAAAACATACTGCTAGTCCACAAAGACCCCTAGGTGGTAGAAATACTGGCCTCATTTCCATAATCATTAATAATATATCAGATTTCCTGTAGTAACTATTTGAACAGAATACATTTTCACCAGAAATGATTTATTTTGTAAATATATAATATCCCTCCGATTATCAACTAAACCAACCGCCACTGTTTTATGGTCCCACTTACTTCAAATGTAAACAAACCCTCCATAACCTCTCATTACCCGCCACCACCCTTTGCCCATAAGTTGTACAGAAGGGGACAGTCCGATACCTGTTTCTCAAAATTCTTATTATATTACTCTGAGGTACTAAACTTTAAAAGAAAGCTGTTGAAATTTCATGAAATTCTACTCAAAAGTTTGTGAGTTATTGTGCTAAGAGTGACACTACTTTCGTTGTTTTCAAAACAATGGATCAAAAATATTTTGTGTTTTAATTTTACATTGCTTCTTGATGGAAAAACTTACCTACTGTTCAAGCGAAGCGATAGCTGAAAAGGAAATACCATCAACAATGAGAATTATATAGCGTTATTGGAGTGTTTGCAGGCTGAAATTGCAAACAAACGACCGCATATGGCGAAAAAAATTTTTGTTTCATCAGGACAACACATCGTATCACAAGTCAATCAACACAGTGGCCAAATTGCATGAATTGGTTCCGCATCCACCGTATTCTCTAGGTCTAGACTCCAGCTCCAGCAAGTTTTTTTTGTTCGCAGACCTCAAAAAAAAGGTCACCGGTGAGAAATTTCGCTCGACCGAAGAGATTATTGCTGGAACTGAGACCTATTATGAGGCAAAAGATTAGTCGTTTTACGAAAGTGATATTGAAATGTTAGAGCGACGTTGGAATGAATGTTTGGCTCTTAATGGGGATAAAGTTGATGAATAAAGCCATATTTTAACAAAAAAAAACGCGTTTTATTTCTCAGGCCCGGAACTTCTCAGCCCATGTGTTATCGTTCCATATATCTTAGACCTCTGTGAAAATCTAGAAATGCTATGTTCAGAGACTAGCTGTGCAGATAATGGCTCATTGAAATAGATTCGTAATTTAAAAATGGTTAATTCAACGAAAAAAGTGTATAAACATTTTTGAACAAAATTATGGTAGTATCATTGGTGGTCTTCTTTGAAAAATACTCCAAGCAAATTTGCTCGAATTTTTCAGAGATTGTTTTCCGTGATACAAAGATTTGCTGAACGTATGCGACCGCAATATTATCAACAAACAAACATTTCGGTAGTAATTACCCAGATTCAAATTCTGAAAGGACGGCAACCCATCATCCATTATCCTCTTGGAGGAATCCGGTGGTTCTCAAACGCTCCTGCGCCAATAGCGTGATTTTGTCCTTGATGTCAGGATGCGGCTCCAACACCTCCAAAAAATCGGATCTGTTCAATATGAACAGTTCGCAAGGAGTCACGGCTTTGACGGAAGCGACTCTAGGTTCGTTGAAGATGAGCGCGATCTCACCAAAGTGGGCCCCGTCCTCCAAATGACAGATTTCTCTCCCGCCCGGAGAATAGATTGCAACCGTTCCAAAGTAAATAAAATACATGCAATTGCCGGCAACTCCGGCAGTCAGGATGACGTCATTGGCCAGGTATATCTCCGATTTCAGACGCGAGACCAGCTTTGCCAAAACGGCGTCCGGCATATCCTTGAAGAACTCTACTCTCTGCACGTGGTTTTTCGTGACGTACACCAGAATCTCCTGCTTCAAAATTTTGGAAACCATTCTGTTGATGTGAGCCTCGTTGTAGAACTGATTTTGGAACTTGAATTGGTAGAACGAGAAGAATTTCTTCCTCAAACTCACCGGCAGGTCCTTGTACTTCAGGTATTCTGTGAACTGCTGGAAGAGGCTCTCGTTTTTGTTTCTGGCATTGGAGAATTTTATCCAAACCTGAAAAGAATTGAATAGATATATTTTAAAGCCATCTTCTAACCAAAACTTGAAAAATGCAATATATATTTCTTCAAGGATTGGAACTTATCTGGTTTGAACAAGTAGCAATCCCGAAGGGAGCAGCTTTTGAGGTTAGGTTATATTAGGTTAGGTCTAAAGTGAGTGGCTCCATTCTACCCTCCACCGCCATCCACAAGGGTTTATTGTGGCTCACACATATTCACACTCGACCAAATAAACCCAGCTTCTCAATGAAGCCGATTAGTTTGTATGGTGAGTGGTCTTTCAGGTCAGATGGTAAGAGTACGGCTCTGCCGAACTTTAAGGAGACCTGATTCGGTCCCAAGTGGGGCAGGCACAAGTTATATACTGCTGTTCCATCATTTTCTAAACAGAGACGAGTCTCTGCATATGATGATTCAAATGACAGTGACCTGTAAGAAGGCCTGTTAGACATCGTAGTTCATCCCTACTGTAGTCCAACAACTTGGTGAATAAACGCCTTGGAGTGAGCCAATCCTGGAAGATTCTGCCAGAAGTCCATACATCTTTTTGCCATCCAGATGTTCAATGTTTGTTTGGCAAAGCCTAAAGCTATGCCAATGACACGTTCTGGTCCGATGAAGCTGCTTGCAGCACCCTCCCTTGCAAGGGATTCAGTAGCCTCATTGCCTCCGAGGCCAGTATGGGCAGGAATCCAGACCAGATACAATCTGTTAAGTCTTCCTATCTAGGAGAATCGTTTTTGGCAATTTGCTACCAACATTACATATCCCTATCTGATTGTTGTTGAATCCATTACCGCAGACTTAGTATCAGTCGATCTATAAACGCCAAAAGGAAAAATTGAAGAGTTCAAGTGGACCACTACTAAGACCAACCTGAAGAATCTGAATGAAGAGGCATAGCTGGACGCAGTAACCAATGCCTATGAAGAACACTATTCCCAATTTCCGGTGAATGTACTCGATAGAATGGTCTCCATGACTAACGTGTAGAAGAATCATTGTAGCCGAATAAAAAGACTGAAACTGGGGTGCTTCCAACCACTCAGCATTCTTCAAAAACACTTTATCGAGGGCGATATCGATTTGAAACATCATAGCGTACAACCACATCACCATCATCGTGAACATAAACCAGGTTCGCAACACTCTGCTGAGGAAAGTTGATAGGTTGGCGTATAAACTGAATAAATCCACCGCATCCCGCCACCTGCCCATCCGAAGGATTCTCAAAGCGAAGAATATTCTCAGTATCACTCTTGCCGTCACAAAATCTCCAATTTCTGGAAATATCCTGAGTACGAGGACAGCGTAGGAGTTGGACACCGATAAGACGTCCAGTAAAAAGTAAGTCTTCAAGTATTTCTTCGCAATTGACGATGGCTTGAGTTCGCTCTTGCTCTGCGAGGGGTTATAATACCCGGTAAAGAATATCATCATAACGTCGACTGTCAGCAGCAAATCTGTTGAAATCTTGAGGAAACCGATTGTGTCTCCAAGATTCGTGGCTTCGTAAGCAGCACCCATGGCCAATATCCAGAACGATATGGTGTACAGAATACAGACGAGGAATTCCCAGTAGAGACTGCACATGCTGAAGGGATGTATGATGTGAATGTAATTGGACAAGTGTCTCACTTTTTCGTTGCGTTTTTCGTGTATGGATTTGTAATAGATTGAGGTCTTCGGGTGACTGTCGCTGATCATTATAAATTTGTGGAATTTTCTTCGGATGTCGATGAATATTCCAGTTTCTATGAATATGTTGAGAATTTCCACGGGAGAAGCGTGTAGACGACATAAGTGCTCTCTTAACATTTTAGAATTTTTTTCGTGACACTTGGAAGAGACAGAAACAGACGGATGTGTTTTGTTTTCGAAACATGTCGAGCTGATAATCATTTGACAGTGCTGATAGCCTTGATCTCCTTCAAAACGTATTTGTCATCATTTAACCAGTAGGGGAAGGTGAGGTAATACGATCCCTGTAGGTCAAATGATCCCCCGCTGTAAATCAGAGACAACTAGTGTCATGTATCGAAATGCACATGAAACATGTTTTCCGCACCCCTACCAGTTGCCTCTCCAAGTGTCATGTCGGTGCGAGCGCTTGGCGTGATTAAATTAAAAAATAATCGAAAAGTGTGACTCTGATCTAAGGTAAGCATGTTTTTGACTCTCATTACTTTTTACATGTTCGTGTTTATAGAAATCTTGTTTTATATCTGGGTATTAACAGCAGTCGCTAATATTTAAGCAATGTTCGATCACCGCACGCGGTATTTGAAGGTTATGTTTTGATCGATATGTTGGAATTTGGTATTTGGGGCGAAATGATCCCTTTCTGTGTGTTTAAAATGATCCCGGGAAGCATTTTACCCCATTAGTATTTGTTATTTTTACAGATCATGCCGAGAATTTATATACGGAAAACAAATCGCCAAAATTGGCCTGAAGAGAAAATGCAAAAGGCATTAGATGCCGTCAGAGATGGCATGCCTTACAAAACCGCAAGTAGAGCGTTTAAGTTCCCTGTGATGGCATTGAAAAGAAGAGCCAAAGGCAAAAATAAAATAGCTGTAGGCTACGTTAAAAAGTCAGGTAGCAAAAAAACAGTGTTTAACCAAGAACAAGAACAGGAACGTGTCGACTATATTAACGACATGGAGTCTAGAATATACGGGCTGACCACACAGGATGCTTAAACCTTAGCTTACCAACTGGCAGAAAGAAATAATTCACCGCATCCATTTTCTGAAGCAAAAGTATAGTTTTGAAGGGAATCTACTCCTGCGTCAAATTACGCCACCATTCAACTTTAAGAAGTTATTTGATTAAATGTGTGTCCAAATTTTGAGGCAATTTTTTTCGCGACTCTGAATAATATTGCATTAAAAATTTCATGTGGTTGTTAACTTTATCCTTTCAGTTAAGCAGTACATTTAATCACGAGCAGCTCTTTGCACGTTACAGAGTGAAAACAATTTTTAAATTATGGTCTGTATTTTTAAATTTTTCGAAATTTCTCAGAAACGGTCAGTTTCAAGTATGGAAAATATAGTAGTAACTCACCTTTATTTTGTCTATAGGCGAATGTGGTGGGCCACCCTGTACATATATCAAAAATACGCGACGGACTGTAGCTGTCCACAACTAAAAATGGTGGGGTAAAGGTACAACATCGAGAAAAAAGGAAATAGCTAAAAGTGACGGGTATTCTTCAAAGTTTCGACAAGTTGATGAGAAAACGTAAATTCAGAGTACCTTTCTTGACACCGTTTTTTCATATAAGCCAAAATATACTGATGGATTGGTCCGAATTTTGAAAAAATCTAAAATGGAAGTTGCTTTCAAAATTGCTCATACACTTCAAAAACTACTGAGCAAGCTGAATGACAAGATAACGGAAAAAAAAAAGTCTGAGATTCATAAAATAAGCTGTTAGGATTGCGTCATGAAGTACGTTGGTCAAACTAAGCGAATTTTAATGAACTGTTTTAACAAACACGTTTCACATATCTGATTTCGTAGACCAGAGGAGTCTGGTGTCTCTCGATATGTCTGAGAGAACGGCTACAGAATAAATGAGACAAGTTTCAAATTGTGACCAATACTTGGAAACAGGATTTTAGATGAATTCGAAAGCTTACAGATGAAATGAAGGAAAGGAGAAAGTCTAAATCGTCAAGACACAAAATCAGCTATGTAATTAGGTAGGTACCTCTGATTACAAGAAAACAATTTTAAATTTAATAAATCGAGAAAAAAGTTAATATTGTCGCAAGATTCATAAAAAAATTATAGGTGTGTTAGATTTAGTGGCTCAAGGAGCTAAATATCACGCGGATTATTACGTCCATTTAAAATCTTTCATAAAACAGACCCAGAGGGAGAAAAAAAATCCAGTAACAATTCAAGTAGACGCAGGAACGGAGTAGATTTTTAAATACACGATGACTACCAGTTTTCTCTGACAAAATTGAAAAGTAATTTTTCGTAATTCCATACTGTTATTTTGATATAACCGTATTCAGATGACAATGGACTTGTTTCATGATTTATGGTTTATAATTCACTTGATAGAAATGTCAAATTGAAAAACAGTGCACTTTGTTTCAGCTCTCTAAGTACCGTAGTTTTTCCGTAATTAATTATTAAAAATTGAATGTGGTAGGCTGGTGACGTCACGGGCCTATTCCCGCTTCTTGTTCGATTGACTAATGGGAACAATAGTAATAATCAACATTGCTGAATCGTAAAATTTGAAGCCTATGATTATCAATTCAATTATATTCAGATGACAATGGACTTGTTTCATGATTTTTGGTTTATAATTCACTTGATAGAAATTTCAAATTGAAAAACAGTGCACTTTGTTTCAGCTCTCTAAGTACCGTTGATTTCCCGTAATTAATTATTAAAAATTGAATGTGGTAGGCTGGTGACGTCACGGGCCTATTCCCGCTTCTTGTTCGATTGACCAATAGGAACAATAGAAATAATCAACATTGCTGAATCGTAAAATTTGAAGCCTATGATTATCAATTCAATTATGGAAGTGTATATGAAAAGTTACTGTTAACAGCCTCCGTTTCAAAATTTTTCATATTATTTTTGATATCGCTCTTGAATTATTTTAGGCAGTAAATCAACAGTCGCTGCAAATGATTCTACCAATATCTCTAAAAAGATTTGATTTTGTTCCTCAATTTCTTCAGCTTCATCCATGGTCGTTGTTAAAGCGAATTCGCGAACACAAAAAACTGACGTTTTTAATAATATTGTTGTGATATTGTTAAGTTGTTCCATGACAACACGATGTTGGGATATATTTGTAGTATTACGAGGTACGCGGTTTCTTATTTCTTCGGAATCAAAATGTAATCTTTCAGCGGGGTTACGAAAACGGCCGATATGCAAATAACGAATTCGGTTGTTATATACCTAAGTATACAATATTCACAACCTCATCAGTTATTTGCTACATATTGATCTTTAATAACTAGTTAATAACTATAACAGCTGATCACATTCCTGATGATAAAACAATAAAAATGAGACTAATGAACCATTATGAGGATAATATTGTATTTTCCAGCAAATTTGGATCTAATACAATAATTTGCTGTAAAAAAATGAAATACGAAATATTGTCCGTTAATTGGTACAGCCAGAGGTCTAAAGATAGTGAAGCAAAAAAATATCGAATTTCAAAGGCTGCTAGTGGAATGTTACGACGACATATCCGGTCACAGGTTTATGATAATGAAATTTATCCGGCCAGTGATTAATAGTTTAACAACGTTCATGACACAAAACCGAAATCCCTATCATTTTATTATCAGAAATAATTTTGAATGACAAAAAGGTAAATTGGAGTGTATCAATTATTATGAAACGGAACGCACCTCAATAGCTCATGCGATAATATCGGCAGTGTCACTAAGCCACAAACCACTAGGTAAGGTTATGTTATATTAGGTTTGATTAGGTTAGGTTAGGTTAGGTTTTGGGTTAGACATAGACTAGGGAGTGGGGAGAAGGAGTGTAGGTTGCACGATGTTGGGTTAGTGACTTGGGTTAGGCTATTTGGGTTGTATTTAAGAAAAGAAATTGTCGTTTTTATTGGAAAAAATATGTGAGTTAGTCTTTGAAAATGTCATTATTTAGGATTTCGAAGATAAATTAATAAAAAAACACTTTTCATTATACAGAAAGTGCAGAAAGTACAAAAATAATAAATACATGGTCTTTATTTTACGTGGCGGAGTTTAGCAAAGCGCTATTCTTCCCCTCAACCACGTTAGAAAAAATAAAATTACAAAAAATAAATGGCAATTTCAGGACAGTAGTAAGATGAAATACAAATGTTTATGTTTGGATCACTATTGACTGAGCAATTCAGTTTTAAGTTTACTTTTGAATAGCGGTAGTGATGAATTTTAAAAAAATTCACTGAATGAATTATACATTGTTACAGCTTGTTACGTGAAGGATCGTTCATAGATAGTGCTGTTATGATTCGGAATGTCAAAAATATTGTTAAATCTAAGGTTTCTTGAGTGTATCTGATGTCTGGGAAGAAGTTTATTTACCAAATAAGTGGGTTGTTGTTTTTTCATCAGTTTGTGAATGAAACAGGCGAAATGCAATTCTCTTCTGTTTTGCAATTTTAACCAATTCAATTGATTGATTGAAGGAGTCACATGATCTCTGTAATTCTAACAAAAATGTAATTTTCATTCAAAAAAAGCAAGCAAAAACGTCGTTTTTCATAATGAAAAAGTGATAAAGCGGTTTGTGTACTAGACTAGCATAAAATTGAAATCTTTGCTCTAAACATTGTTTTCTCTTGACAACCTCATTCTTCAGTAAATTGTTGAAAATTGTAATCAAGATTGGGCATTTTCTTTTATTTTTTATTTGAGCTTTTAACAATACCGTTTTTATGGAGATTCATTGGCTGGCCCAGGATTCCGAGATGCCACAATTTTCACTGAACGATTCTAGAGTCGTTACTACAGTTTTTGAATTTTTTGCGTTGCTTATTGAGAAACTATTTTTTTGTAAATCCGATGTTATGTCGTTATACAATTATTTGTTTGAAACTAAAAAAAAAACCTCAGAACTGCTGATAGTTAATAATTGGACTACGACCCACCTGAAGTATCTGAATGAAAAGGAACAATTGAAGACAGTAACCGATGCATATAAAGACGACAGCAACGAATTTTCGATGGGTGTATTCCAAAGTTCGGTCCCCAAAACTGACATGTAGCAGCATCATTGTAGCTGAATAATACGACTGGAGGTTTCCGTTTTCCCACGCCAAAACATGTATGTTGAACACCTGGTCCATAGCAATT